CACTGCATTGCTTTTGGGACATACCCTAAAATCCGTCATATAAGAGCGGACTTATCTGCAGTTTTGGCAGGAAAATCGATGGAAAAACGCCGCAAAGGGTGTCACAGATAAGTCCGCCTAAATCGTCTCGCAGATACGTCCGTCTGTCCTGAGCATGAGCAAGCGCGACCTAAGAGCACAGACGCGCGCGACCGCTCGCGTGGCTTGCCAGTGTAGATTTAAACGAGGCCGCGATATCGCCTGAAAGAAAGAGCCCAAGGATTCGACAAGTCGTACAGTCTACTTGGTGGTCGTCGCGGATTCTTCATCGCGTACGCTGGATAGGTGAGTTCTTTTCCTATATATGACACCTGTATGAAATTGAGCGATTTCTGCCGATGAAAAGAATCATAATAGGTTTCATCATTGCATCATTGCAATCATCTCAACTTATCATTCATCTTATCGTTTTGGAGGCGACAATGTTTTCACTACATCTCTCGAACCCGTACAGGCTACAACCCTTGAACCTGACTCCTACACTTTTGCTTCCTCTATTGTTTTCATGTTCTGAATGTAGTCTCTGTTGACCCATGCCATACGGCTTTTGTCAAATGCTTTCTTGAACGGAAGAGTGACAGTCTGAGAATGCTCAACCTTAGCAAAGCATTAGGCTTCCTTGTTATTTTCCTCAATTGTTGTTTCATTAAGCCTGTACATCCAAGACAAAAGATAGTGTAGTCAAATTTGATGCCGCCTGCTTTTCCTTGTATAAAAGAGTAAACCTTTCGATGACCAGCGCAAATTTATAGGACTCCGCGTGATTCCAGTGTGCAATGACCGGTAACTCAGCGAAGTTCACAATCACGCGGGGCCCTATATTTCCAGCATAGTCTCACATGCTTTGACTTAAGCTTTTCAGGTGTCTCGCATCTCAATGGCTATCAGAAGGAAGTCCTACACCGCGCTTTTTAAGCTTAACGTGGTGCAATATGCCTTGGAACATGGAACATCGGCTGCCGCTGTTCGCTACGAAGTCTCTGATGGTCTGGTTAGAAGATGGAAGGCCGATAAAGAAAATCTGGAGGATATGCCACTGAGGAGACGCGCCAACCGTCATGGGAAGCCAAAGGTGGAGGAAATAGAGGAAGCTCTCTATGCATGGATTGTGCAGACGCGAGAAGGAAGCCGAGCAGTGCTTGTCAAAGACATTCGCGAGAAGGCATTGCAGCTAGCGCGGGAATCTGGCCACCAGGACTTCAGGGCATCGGCGATGTGGTGCAAAGGCTTTATGAAAAGAAAGAACTTATCTCTGAGGCGAAGAAACCATTGCGAACAGTTTCACCAAGGCTCTCGATGACGAATCAATAATAGAAGGCATGAACGAGGATTTCGACGCTTTGATTGTTGCTGATAATAACGATAATGATGGTCGTTCTTTTGGTCAAGTTGTTGCCATGAATGTTTGTTATGAACATGGAATGCTACCTGAATAAAGATCTGTTGCTTCGGTTCATTCTGAGAGCAAAAAAGGCAGCGCAATTGCGCATCCTTCTTGTTTTCATGTGAAAAAAATAAGGCGGACTTATCCGCGGGACTTGGCGGCGCGCGAGGCGCGCGAGGCTGTCACGAAAGCGGACTTAACTGACAAGGGAGGTCGAATCAGTCGAAGTGGCCTTTTCAAATGGGTCATATACTATTTTGAAGAGCGTTAAACGCTGATTCCGAATCTTTCTTCGTTATCTGCCGAGCGCCTCTGGACGCCGAGTTATAAATGTTTTTTGGAGCGGAAAATGAACGCAGAATTCAAGTAAAATTGACTATTACGGACTTTTCAGCGCCTAAACAGAGCAACATGTAGTATGAGTGTTTTGGGCAGAAGGTATCCTTTGAAATGGAGTGCTCTGATAACCAACATTGGACCATTTGAGCAATTCTGACGAATTTTGCTCTAATTACGCATTCAATTTTTCAACCCAAAGAACTCTCATAACTCGGCGTCCAGAGGCGCTCGGCAGATAACGAAGACAGATTCGGAATCAGCATCCTAAGCTCTATGAAACAGTATACATTTCAAGATGAAATGCCACTTCGACCATGTATCCTTCCCTTGTGAGAGCACTTTTGCGGTCTTATCGGCGAGGCGGTCTTTACTGCGAGCCGATCTTATATGACGGATTTTAGGGTAAATGAACTGAGAACTTTGCATCTAAAGTTCGCAGAATCCATTAGATGAGCCGTATTATCTTCCCTTACTACGAAATTGGACCTAGAGAATGAAGTCAACCAGGAGGGTGTTACATGATTAGTCGACAAGGAAAATGCCATATTAAAATGTAATTTTACCACGAAACGAGTCCGTTCAATATCTAGAAAGACGGACTTTTGGGACTTTTCCGTTATGCGAACCCATTTAAAGACGTTCTCATAAAATATATGGTTTAGTCCAAAATATTTCATGAGCACTATAAGCACGCCTATCTGCCACGTTTCAGGCATCAATGTTTTGACATTGTAAAATTTTTTTCTTGTGAGATGATTCGAAGCTGTTTATAGGTGCTCTGTAAAAAGTCTAGTGACCGCATTCATCATGCGAACATCCGAGTTCATCTCCTTGGTGTGATGAAACTGCTAGAAGCTTTGCGAGCGACTATTGCTCCTGAAAGTATAACTCCGGTTTCACAGATTCTGGCAGGATCAGTTTTTCTTCGAGGTTCGGAATATGGTTTATTCAGTGGGCAAACTGAGTCTTCTTTCCAAGCATTGTCACCAACTTCAGCATTGGGGAAAGGATTTGTGCGCAAGCAATTCTGGCACTAATGAGCAGTGAATTTCATCAATGTTAATATAATAAATGGCCTACCTGGACCAGTATCAACGTACCCATCCGCTAGCGATGACACGACTACATAAACGGTCCAAGAGATTGGCGGCAACCAGAAATCGGAGTTTGCAGTGCTGATTTGATGACGTCTCTATTTCTCTTTCTTGGAAAAGTAAACAGAACGGAGCAAACAGCGTTGGCAAAACCCAAGATGGCAAAAGCGTTTGATGACTCTTTGACTGCACTCTGTCGCTACTTGTCGTATTTTACATTAACTATTCGTTGATTTTTGTTGATCGGAAGAAAGTTTAGAATTTCAAAACCAACTTTAAACGTTGATAGGCTAAGGTTTAGCTCAATAACTCCTTTTCGTCAGAGCCCGTAAGTCAGGAACATATGAAGTTTATTCATTCAGCGTCTTCCTCCAAAGTTAAAATCAAGATCGAGTGGCATGCAATGAACAAGTGAGCTAAGGTTCCTGCCTCTGAGGTATAGATCGACGCGTTGCTCATTTTGTTCTCTGTCTACTTGTTAGCATCATAAAAACTTTCAAAAAAATCAAGTAAAAGCTTCGTAAATTTACCAAAGCGGGAATGATTAACACTATGGATCATTTTTTTTACTATTTCCATGAATTAGCTTTTATCTCAACATCAGTGCAGGTTGCAGCGTAGACGTAGACCTCTCCGCTGATTCTTACTCTTCTATTCGTTAAACTTCCTTCATTCTAAATGTGTTGCAAATCCTTCCATGCCGCCTAGCAGTTCAGTTTTTTTGGAGGGGGGGGGGGGGGGGAGAGCAGGCATGATAGGTTTTTCCAATCGAGTGCGCGGTGTCAGCCACGCCTTTCGGAGAATATTTAAGACGCTCCCTGTAATTTTTGAGGACCCGGATCCTGAAATTAAAAAAGTGAGCGTAGCCTCCACCCCTGAATTATTTTGTTGAAAGTTCCAATCAACCAAAATATTATTTCATTTGAATGCAGTTGAAAACAAATCACTCCTCTCCCGCCCCAACTGCAATTTCGGTATGAATGTGTTTGAAGTGGATCGTAAAAGAATTATCGATTAGAGATGCATTTTTTCAAATTTTCGGGCACTTAACTCAAATTTTGACAGCCTTTACGTGATTAGGTGCACTGGTGCGAAATTGTGCACTCCAGCTTGTGTAACTTTAGCTTACTTTGCTTGAATAGTAGCTATCGCGCATTCTCGGAGCTTGCCTGATATTGCGTGGCAGAGCAAGCTATAAAAAGCGTCATTATTTTCTTTTGACAACCCTATACACTGCATATTGACTGTTCGGATTTGAACGGAATGATTACAATAGCGTGCAAAAAAGATCTTGCCCTTTTTGAAACTGGTAATGATGAAAGATTGCAGACATGACAAGGCAACCGAAAGAACTTACGCTCACGCTAAAAATCAAGCCTGCCCAGCAGGATAAAATAGAAAGACAAATCTAGTAAACTATGGTGAGACAAACACGAATAAGTTGCTCAAAAAGTTTGTTCAGAATGATTTAGTATAATGGATAGCAACAATGTAGCGAAAATCCCTATTACGACTTCAGACCTTTCCTGAATAGTGAGGACAGGAATGGCAGATTTAGTGGTGAGTCATGTGCAAGCGTTACCGAGAGCCTTCTCGACAAAAAAATCATCAGACGTTCGATTCTTGCAAAATGGTTAGGAGCATCCATGTCGTCTAGACAGCTCCACCAGAATGTACTGAGAAAATTTCCGTGTGGAAAAAGATTGCTACCAAAACTAATAAGTATTTTTGAAAATGCGAGATAAAATCCAGACGTTTTTTTTCCTTAAAAAAGCCATAGAATGATTATGTCGTTTGATGAGCTATTTAGAATAGTACGCACCGAAGTTTTGCTTCGCTGTATTATGACGGGGCCATTTTTAAGAGCTGGGTTGTAGCTAAAGAGCTTTTAAGAACATGCAGAAAGGAAGTTTGTCTGCAACAATCTTTAGGGTCACTGTATTTCGAGCTGTGCAACGTTATCGTTTTGGAGTGTTTCATAATGTGTTAAATTTTTCATATTCATCTTCTAGCTTGTGCTTTTTTTTCGCTGTAAATATGACAAACAAGCCTCAAAGCCTTGAGAGACTTGCTGATATGCTTGAAATCTTTGATGTGTCGAAGCTCGGCAGCACTTTATTCAACACTGAACAGATTCTGCAACCGTGCATTATTTTCCTATTCGTATTATGCCGTGCTCTGTAACAAAGTCGAAAAAGTCTGTCAGAGGTCTCATCGTATCAAATGAACAGAACATGTAGGTAGGCCACGGCGTGAAAATATAATAATCATATGAGCATCCGAAAGCCGAGGATTTTTCGACTGCCTGAAAAATGCAGGAAATGGAAAATTTTCAAAATCATTCACTGGGTATGTTGACATAGAAAGCTATTCAGTATGAGCTAAACAGGATACTAAGCTAGTAACGTAAAGGCAATTCCGTGCAGAGGCGGGATTATGAAGTTTGAGTGCAGCAAAAGCGTGCAAGCTCCTGCTAACTGCACGGCAGCAGAGGCGAAAATTGCTTTATCCGAGTTGAGATGAGACGCCTTAGAAAGCTATTTAGTATGAGCTAAACATGATAATATAATGCACATTAGATAGTTTGTTATCAATTTTCGCATTTTTCAATCTTTTCCAGCAACGATAAGCCCAGGTAAGCAAATAAGCTAGAGAATGAGTTTTTGCCCAGCACTGATTTCTCGCAGCAATTAGAGGCAGTGTCCGGGCAAGAACTAAATATTGGAAAAATCACTTACCTGGGGTTATCCACAACGCTGAATCCGAAAATGCACATTAGAAAGCGCGAAAACGGCAAGAACATGCGTTCAAGCCTTACAATTCAGAATGTCCTACGATGCTGAGGCGCAGAGTCGCTGCGGGACCCTACAACTTTGACTGTGGCGGCACGCGTCTTTGCCGCACAGCAGGTATAACAGGTGGAGGACCCCGCCCCGAGGACGTAAATTTCTCAACATTTCGAACGCATTTCGTGCTTCTAATCAAATGGCGTGTCCGAGGCGGCCCATTTTCCCAAGGTAGATTGGCACTAAACTCCCAAAATCCACCTTTCCGGACGCTGCCTTTAAGCTTACTCGAAGCAGGATGTATGCGCAATTAAGACTATTACAGCATTATCGAGTCTCAGTAAGTGCAGAAAGAAGTTTTAGAACGAAAAAAGCTAGGTCACTTTCTACAACAATGCCAAACCTGTCGGTTGTTACTTTGAAGTACTACAAGACGTTTCGTCCTTCAGTAATTCCTATACCGTTCGAAGCTTACCTCGCTAAGATTGAACTTCTTCCAATGCTCGATAAGCAAATCAGCTACTTTTGTTCCGCTAACAAAGGTGCTAAATATGTTTGCTTCAATGAGAAACTTGCTATGAAAATTTAGTGTTTTTGATTTTGTTCGCGTAGGCGCCCCAAAAGCATACTATATATTAGTTGTTCCACAAGTCTTTTCATAATCGAACCTTCAAACTAATGTTTCTCAAAAACTGGGGCACACGAGGCTGCAATGTAACAGTATTTCTGAGTGAATAAGCTATATAATCACACCGTTGCGCGGAGCACAGAACAGCCGCGAGCAAAGTTTCAAAAATTAGTGCATTCTTTCTCTTTTCTTGATTTCTAGCCATTGAAAAAATGCAGAAAGTGTATGTATAATACCTTGTGGGAGAAATATGCGAGAGCGAATGGGTACCTCGTGGGAACTCGGATTTTTTCTCTTTTAGTTTACAGATCTATTTTAGTTTGCAGATCAAATTTGGTGCGAGCTGACTTATGGCGGTGAAAGGTCAGTTATGAAAAGACCTGTAAGACAACCTAATATTAGTCCTATCCGAAAGTTCCTACCGTTCTTGAGACATATCCTAAAGATTTATGGGACAACCTGAACTCAATAAATGGGACACTATTACATTATGATAATTATAGTTTTCGGACATGCTCACCTTACTAAGCGCCCTCCTTCAACGAAAAAGCGCTCTATATGCAATGTAGGTTGATAATAGAGAAAGCGTTGGGGCGGGGGGATGTAAATGCACCAAAATGGTAGTCGAATGGTATCACTCAGGCATCGGCACGAGGTGGCTCCTGCAATTTCTAGAAAGCGAAGTCATCCATTTTGCAGCACTATCACAAAGTGCTTTGTGGGTATTTCTAGTGAAAAATCCATACAAAAGCAGAATAGAACATCGGAAAAACACTACGTTCATTGTTTGGTTTGGCGGCATGATGTGTCCGCCACGAGCTGTCGCGCTCTTAGAGCATTAGTGCAGACACCATTCAGAAAAAAACTACAAAGGAGATAAGCGGAAAGCGGAAGCGAAAGCGTAACTGAGCGGAAAGGTTGAGGAATAGCATCCTACAAGTAAGTAAGGAGGTGCGGCTGAATTTTCGTAAAAAATGTAAAAAAAAATTATGCGAAGAGAGGGAAATTTATGACTCTGTTTCCTATGTGAATCACCTTATCTCCACATGGCTTCAGGCACCTAGTATCGATAGAACTTTAGCACGTCCTTAGTCGCATAACTTTTCGTGATTTTTCTACATAGTAGTGTCACCTCCCCTTGCGGTCTACACAATCTACACATTAAAGGAGGCCACAATTTGTTGGGTTGATGGAGTAAAGTCAGCCAGCTTGGCCCTCGAAGTTATATACCTCTCGATTTTTTTACTCGGTTCATATAAAAGTCAGTTTCATTTCCAGTAATCTAATAACCGAGTCAGAAATGAATGCCATGTCCTCTCTCGTCAAATCTCAGCACGATTTTAATATTTTCGTTTTTCTCTGCACACAAAGTGGTTTGCCGATTTATCCACTTCTAACCACTGAAGTCTACGTCTTACTCAAGTTTAGCCAAAAGTTAGTCTAGTTAGTTTAGTCAAAATAAAGCGATTTTTACCTTAACCTCCTTAAGACCGAATGAGTACGCCTTAAAAGGTCAGCCTGCCCTGTAAGCCATTCTGTGCCGAGCCCTGATTCCACTGACTTACAACACCGCTCGTAATTTCTGAAAAAAATTGGCGGCGGCCCCCACTTTTTTTCAGAATTTACGAGGATGTTGCACATCTTTGATCGATTCAACTTCGCGTATATGCAGTTGGAGCGCGCTCGCGGAGGAAGTCTTCTTTTCTTCTTTGAATGCAAGAAATAAGTAGTTTAAGTTATTCACTTCAGAAGTGCAACAAACTTGGTTTCTCCGATCCATATTGTTTTCAAACCATCCTTCAGCTTAACGTAGTACCGAGCACCAGTTTGCAAATAGCAGTGATAACTCTGAAAAAGCATTCCAACAAATTGGTTGTTTTTGTCCCTGGTCCTTCTTCAATGTGCTCATCTAAATATATACAGGGTGTCCCAAAAAGATGTGCACGTTTAACTGTTAATAACTCTTTTGCTTTCATGTTTTTTGCCGAGCCTGATCTACCATTCTGTAGAGCGAAGATCTACAGTATGATGGGACTTGTCAGCCGCTTTTCATTACTGTAGGATTACGGTAGGAATTTCGAGGAAGATTTTGAGCAATGGAAAGCTGTATTTTGCCTCAGAAAAAGCCAAATAACCAGAAACTCTTGAACTGGGTTAATCGTAGTCGCTGATTAAATATGAAAACTGCACGTCACTACACTGTTTCTTTCATGAGTTATTTCAGATTTAGGGTAACAGCTGATTTTCCAATGTTCAGCAGAAATGTGAATACGCCATCAAGAAAGCTCGAAAAACTGATAGAAAGTTATGTAGTGAAATCAACACGCCTGAAAACCTTGCTCTACACAATTTTTTAGATTTTTCTGAAATTAATTCATCAAAAGGCTTATTCCACAGTGATGCTGTATGCTGAAATTTCATACCGTAATCCTACAGTAGCAAAAAGAGATTGGAGTTTTACTTAATACTGTAAATCTAAGTTTATCCTTGCTCTACAGATTGGTACATCAAGCTCGGCAAAAGACATGAAAGCAAGAGAGTTGTTAACGATCAAACAGCGCGCACATCTTTTTGGGACACTCTCTATAATAGTTTAATAGATATCTGTGTTTTTGCCTGATTGTTTTGTGAAGTAGAAAAATCAAAAGCTATTGTGAGTATGTGACTGACCAAATCCCTTCCTAAGTGCTGCTTGAATTGTTTTGCAAACTCGTCTTGCCAGGAAGGGTAAAAGTGTCCAGTGTCGCATTTCTTGTACGAGGAAGTGCAGCTCACAGTAATAAGCAAGCAATAGAACAGTCCATGTTTGGAACTCGCAAATTTTTTGAGCGCTTTCGTGCAGTCAGACACTATTGGCATTGTTGAAGAAGCAGTCGCTCAAAGATCTTTCTGAAAGTTGAAAAAGTCACCAGAGGCTTACATGATTTAAATAGGCATATTATAACTACATGAACAAGGTTATAAGAAATCAATGCAGGCTTTGTTGTGGGCATGGACAATTTAGAGGAAACTCCAAAGCAACTTACAACTTGAATTGCTCTATGAACTTCTGCCATGCTCTTTCAAATGTGTGTTCATATTTTACTAAATCTGTCTCTTCGGTCATTCAAAGCTTTTACATCTTTTACACTAGAAATCAAAATGGATCTGCATTATAGGCTGCTGTTATTACTCGACTTAAGTGACCAAAAGGTACCATCATGAGTGCAGTGAATACAAAATAGGTTTCCGACCGCATCTCTTTCGCGAACATGCTCTCTAATCACTTTTTCACCGCGAGCATGGAAAGGATGGTCTTAAAGGCAGCGTCCGGGCAAAATTTTGCCTCTCATGTTTCTGCCATTCTGGGGCCTTTCCGTGGCCCTGATTATAGTTGTAAAGTCCGAATTGTTCAAAACTCCCGAAAAACCCGGTTCTTGGGGACCCTCTCTTCAAGGAGCGGACGAGTTTCGAATTGCTCGTCCTCATCGTCATGCCAGCGGAAGGAGCTGCAACTGCAATGCAGTTGCACTGCACACTGCATTGCAGTTGCACTGCATTGCAGTGTGCAGTGCAACTGCAATGCAACTGCAATGCAACCGCACACTTGCGTAAGCACCAGGACCCGGCACGAGTCGGTTTCTAGGGTTTCTGAAAACGAAGTCTCCCCTGACTTTCGGAAGTTTTACGAAGTCCCCTTTGACATGCCTACTTAGGAAAAGATGAAAACAAGAAAGATTTACAAGTCTGGAAAAAAAGACGTAAGATAAGAGTGAAAATCCAAATTGGAGCTGAGTACTACGCAAGACTTTGGCATTAGAGCGCGATATTCAACAAAGCGAGAAGAAATGAAGGCAAAAAACAAAGGAAAGCCAATGGTATGAAAAGGTCTTTATGCTCAGGGATAGATCTTTGACCGGGGAATCCGTCCATGCTAAAAAGATCCGAAACTTATGTGAAGTGACGGAAATATATGCTCCAGACGATCTCAGATCGTCTGGTGGCCGTCTGGAGACGATCTAATTTCGAAAAAGGTAATACTTCACATAAGTTTTCTAATCTTTTTATATAATACTTTCGCAAATGATTTTCTATACATGCAGTTCAATTTTGGTGTCATATGCTTCTGTGTGCACTGCAAACAAGCAATTTGTTTATTTTAGCCCTACTTTCAAATCGCGCGCACTTTTCGCCATACACGACAGAGCATGTCAATCGTGTGTTAACCTGTCCGAAAAGCTCGTGTTCGACTAAGCGGCGCTTATTCTTGGTGCCCGGTTCCGACCCGTCAAAAACGATACCCCCTTTAATGTTTGCTTCAAAAACGAAGTCCAGCCTGCTTCCAGACGATCTGTGCCGGGCCCTGGTAAGCACTCGTCCTCAGGGGTGGTTTGTGATACGAAGGGGCGGCTTGTGATACGTATCACAGACCCGTATCTCCTTTTAGAGGGCACGTCAAAGGATTGGACCAACGCAGATCGGATACTCCTGGGCCCCTCTTTACAACTATGTGCTAATCTGGGTGGATGGATCTTGCCTGGACGCTGCCTTTAAACCGGTAGAGCTCGGTGGAACCTCGATTGAACATGGTTGAGAGCATGTTCGTGGAAGAGGTGCAGAGTCCCGCGCAAGAGTGGAGATGCTGATGACACCGACATAAGTCTTGGAATTGCTGCAGCGACCTTCATTTTCGTAATTTGGCATTAAAGTTTTTCGCGTTATACTTTTGTATCTTTGACTTGAGACCATTCGGACTCAATTATAATATTAGATGGTCTGAAAGTTCGTGCCGTTGTTTAGACCTACCCAAATCAGTCAGAATGACGATATAACACACTTACTCTATGCAGAATCTCTCTCTTTTCAGTAGTAATGTATCGTTCGGATCCATTCAACGTTCTTTCGAATTTGCCACAATCTCCAAGTCATGCATTTTATGTGCCCCAACTTTAGCATTTTTTATGGAATTTGCGTTTTTGGACTTCCAAAGCTTTGATAACAATTGGATAGATCAAACAAATGCTACAAAACCCAGTTTTTTGATGTCAATAACTGGCTTTTCAGCATTTTCAACAACAAGTTTTCCAGAAATCTTCATATTCGCGAAGTCGTAAAATATTAGGTCGTCCCGAAAGTATTTTCGTTTTTTTCAAAGAATCGCCACGGTCCGCAGAACAAACATCCTTAAAAGATTCTGGAATCATTCGATGCAGTTTTTTATGCTCTTTCAAATGGTTATCTTTACATTGCAGTTTAACAAACGAGCTCTTAGAAAATAACCAAAAATTGCGACCCAAGCTTTTTACCAAGGTCAAGTTTCGCTATTTTTCTAAATTCTCGTACTGATTCTCCGAAAAAGCCCAAGTACTCTGCGGATAGAGCAAACAAAGTAGGATACAAAACAATTTCTGCCACTTCCAAACCTTACTTAACAAAATTTTTAGAAATATTTTTTAATGCTATCAAATTCTATATTTCGTCAACTTAAACCTCATAGAGCATCACTCGGGAAGCAACTCGGGTGTTATTCGATGCAGCACCTTCTCCTCTTTCAGAAACATGTTTTTTTTCTGTTTGGTAAACTTTCAGAGGACAAAATCGACAAAATTCATGTTTTTGATGGCGCCCTAAGATGTACCCGAAAAATTCAAAATCTGATATTTCGAACCTGGAAACGCCCATTCGTCTTTAAAATTAGTGATGAATCTTAATCAATCTTTAAGAGTATCAAAAACTGAGAATTTCTTAGGGTTTGACGAGTCTGCGTCTGGTATGGGTCTGCTAAAATTTGATAGCATTGCTTAAAATTTTGTCAAAAAATTATGGAGAACTCTGGGAAGGACAAAGAAATTGTTTTTTATCCTACTTCGTTTGCTCTATCCGCAGGTTACTTGGGCTTCTTCGGAGAATCAGTACAAGAATTTAGAAAAATAGCGAAACTTGACCTTGGTAAAAAGCGTGGGTCTCAGGTTTTAAAAATTTTCTGAGAGCTCGTTTGTTAAACTGCAATATAAAGATAACCATTTGAAAGAGCATAAAAACTGCATCGAATGCTTTCAAGATCTCTAAAGATGTCTGTTCTGCGGACCGTGGCGATTGTTTGAAAAAAGCGAAAATACTTTCGGGACGACCTAATATACAAACGCTTTAAACACTATGAAATCTTCGCAAATTGAACTTCCCAAAAATTTCTTATGATTAAGCTTTTAACAATGATTTTCTATTGCCTCGAAATATCAATTTTTGAAATTTAAGAGCCTGGGACGCATCAAAAAAAAGAGAATAAGATGCATCGAACGACGCCCTAGCTGTTTGCCGTTTGATGCTCTACGAGGTTTGGGATATACAGATATCAAATTTGATAGCATCAAAGTGATAATTTTTGAAAATTTGAGAAGTCAGCTATTTATATCAAAAATATGTTACACTGCACGTTTTACTCTATCTAACTGTTATTAAAACATTTTCAAAAGTCCAGAACGAAAACTTGAAAAAATAGCAAAAGTCAGGGTAAGTACAAATCCGTTTAAAGGTTACGGCGATTTTTTAAACGAATATCAAATGAATCCGGACGAAAACGTTACTGCTGGAAAGAGGAATGAATTCTACATAGAGCACTTTTGTGTTTGTCTATCTTTTGTTCTGAATGATTTAGGGCAGGTCTAGAAAAACGATGAGAACTTTCATACTCACTTCATATGAAACTCAAAATAGAAACTTCTGAATTCTGGGATTACAACTTACACAGATGAAATTGAAAGCTTTTATTCTTTTTTCTGCATTGTCAGATCTCATAGTTTTTTTTTTTCTTTGTACAGCTACTATAGAAATTTCTGCATTAAATTATCATTGAAGAGGTGAAACTTTCTAACTAGTGTTCCGAACTGAGTTTACAGTAGATTTTCGAGAAAACATCATAGTTTCTAGAATCTTGTCATTAGCTTACTAACGAGTCGATTTGCGACCATTTTGCGAAGCTTGCCGCTGACTATGATGATGAAGGTTAGTTTGCTTATGGAGCAAGCTGATATCATTTCAGGAATAAATAGCCAGACAGATATCGTTTTTGCGTGATCCGGGGAGGGACCTCGTAAAAACGCATGGTATCACTTAGTAAGGTGGAAAAACGTTAATTGTTCCAAAAGTCGGAGCCTCGAAAATGATAAAAATTTCCAAAAAGTCATTTTAACCGCGCAAGGCAATTTATAATTGATTTTTAAGAACTAAGGCGAATGAAAAAGTTTGAGGAATTCGTTAACTTTACGCCTATAAATTATTTTTTCAACCTTCCCTCGCGAAACTTATCCCATTGTAGTCGTCATAAAAGTCGTAGAAATGCCACTCCCAGCTTTTATCCCCCACAATCCTCCCACAATCACTCCTGCTCCCACCCAAATCTGAAGACGGCAAGGCTCATCAAGTCCTACCGATTCCATTTTCTGCAAAGCCAGCATCCGCTCCAATATGCTCACTGCGCAAGCGCGAGGGTTAAAAAATGTGCCTTGAAATCAAAACGCCTGTTTACATCGAGGAGAAATTATATGACACCAAAATATGAGGGCATGGCAAATTTCTTCCTGAGTTAGGTGGCTAACCACTTGGAACCACCTGAGGTAATTTAGGAAAGAAAAACGTCATGAATTTCCCTCCATTCACATAATTTTCTCAAATTTTTTACATAAGCTTAATTTACCTTCACTACGAAAAAGTTTATTGGTCTTCCCAACCGTCCCCTCCTCCCCTCCTATCCTAGTTATAGCCCTCCATTGTATGCCGGCGGCAATCCTGCTCTAGGCGCGCAGTGAGCACCGGACATAATATGTAGCATGCCGCCAAACTCAAAAAATGCGAACGTCGTAAGTTTTTTTTATCTTCAGTATAATGTTCTTTTTGCGTTCTTTTCTGCTCCGTT